CCCAAGCGCCAGGTAACCTGGGGGGCCCCGTGTGCGCGCGCACCTCCGGCCGGGGCGCGTGTGCCACTACAATGTTTTGCAAGGAACAATACAATGTAACCAGGCAGGCTTGCAATATTGTATTGCCATGGACCTTTGACACTGTATCCCGAGTAAAACGGGCAGGCTCAGCCACAAGGCCCTTCATCCACAAAAGCTCCAGCAAGCTCTGGGGATCCGGCAAGCTAAAGCATTTCCAGCCAGTCTTGTCTTGTTACTGGAGGGCAGTGAATGGCACAGGACAGGGTCAGCAAAGCCCCAGCACATGCAGCTGCCTGCATTCACGGCCAAGGGCAGCCCTTGGGATAGAACTGCACATAGAAAACTGCATCTCTGCTGAAAGGAAGCTGGTATTGCAAATACCTTCCTCTCCCTGTGGCTGCTACAAAACAAGATGTGGTGATCAGGTCAGACACCCGAACACTCCTTTCACTGAAGTTTGGTATAATCCCCCCTACAGTCTCTGACTGGGGGACCCAACACCCCCCACTGGGTGGAGCTGCTCTACAGGCCTGAGCTTACACAGTGCAGAAGCTGGCATGGAAGCCCCGCCAGCTCTGCCTGCTGCCCCTTGAACCCCACGAAACCAAGGAAAGCTGGATGGCCCTCCACAAGTCAGGCAGGGAGCACGGCCCTGAGGCACCAGCGCAGTTGTGTGCACCACTCCAGCAGTCCAGGCAGGAGGGCACTGCTGCAGTCCAGGGGAGGACTGAGCTCAGGGTGGTTCCAGAAGGCAGGAGGTGGCCATTGGCACCCAACCACACTTCTGGGAGGGGGCTGCGAAGGTGGCAATGGCCCTAGACACTTTTTCCTTTCTTCACTAGGCTAGCAGACCCACCTAAGAGGGCCCCCAGGCATTAGAGTGCCCCCTCCTTCAGATCCAGCATAAGGGAGAGGGAAGAGTGCTGCATCTGGCTCCCTTAGCCCTCATCTCCCAAAACATTTTGGGAAGCTTTAATCAGTCCATGCCAACCCCCTCTTACCCCACCCTCCACACTGAATGCAAAACAGCCACACCCAAGGTTGCCTATCAGGCACAGAGATCAAACCTCCCATTTTGGATGTTTCAGAATCAAGTTGGTTTGAAATGTTGTTCTGTAAACCAAGCCAAAGTTTTGACATTTTATCATGGTTTGGGACAACCTCCTCCCAACCCATCAGGTTTTCCCCCGGGACAGAATTCTATTTCCTGATCCGCTTCAGTAAAGCTCCCATTCATCTACTGGCCAACCCAACCACCATCCATGCCATTCCCCAAACCTCCTCAGTGGCCAGGTCTTTGTAGATATATTGACTGGCACCAAATGTTTTCTTATCCAGTCCCTCCCACAGGATAAGTCAAAGGGTTCGTTCAAGCCTAGGAGAAAGCACCCATAAGAACTTGGGGGAAGCAGTTGAAGGGAAGCCAAGACCAAGACGGAGACCTGTCCCTTTAGAATTATGGGTGCTGCCAGGTGCAGGGCGCTTTGAGAACCTGGCCCCACATGCTAAAAAAAAATTCTAAAAAGTTAGGCACTAATTTAAAGTTTGTAGCTTCAGGTTTGCTGAGAACAGGAATTTAAAAGGGACACAGGGAAAAATTAAAGCTTTTCACAATGGTGGTCTCTACACAGCAGAAAATAACTGAAACAAAGGTTTTTGAAACATCAAATTTACATATCCTGGTGTTTGCAGATCACTTTGCCACATTCATGTTCACTATGACACCACCACAGACTAGCCAATTTTATTTCAGTAGGTTTCAGGTTTCCATGCACTACGTGAAAAGACGTGGACTCTGCTGGGCAGTATGTTTCTACAAAAAACATACACATTTAAAAAAAGTCATGGAAAGCTATTTCTAGGTCTGCATCTACTTGCAAGGCTTCTTTTTATAAGCTAACAGTTGGACCATATTGTCCCAATTCTCCTTACTGTTTTTGTACCCAAGTGAAATAGTTTCATGTTCCAGTGCAGCACATCCCCCCAGTTTCCTTAAAAACCGAAGAGAATTGGCAGTCTAAGCAACAGCAAAAATAGGGAAAAAGGTTGCCAGTAGGGTACTGCAAAAATGGAAATATTTACATTGTACAATTGTCTGCCCCCACTCAGATATCCATATCCTGCAGCTGACTACAGAAACAAGCCATTCATTTTTAACTTTAACTTCACTCTAGTTTTAGCTTAACAGGAATATACACATGGCTGGCATAAGAGGGAAAGCGGCAAACAATGCTGGATGCTTCCTGTTGGGCTTCCTACACTGCTGTATTCATAAGCTGCTCCCAGCAACACCAACCATAGTGTCTCATTTATTCCCCAACTTCACATATGACATGTTTGTTCCTCTAACGTTACCAATTCAGTTTAAGAGGAGCAATTGCCTCTGCTGTATAACTAGTCCTGCCAGACATTTAAATCAGCCAGAGGACCTACTGTCAAACAGCTGATCCAAATTTGACACAGGGTGGTCATACCCCTATAGTCCAGTTAAGCAGAGCCCATGGCTGTTCTGCCCCCTTAAGATCAATCTTTACTTACCGAGACACCCAACCTCTGCTCTATGCCACTGGCAATGTTGATGTTGTTAAGAAAACAGTTCTCAAGAACAACCTAGAAATATCTACACATGCTGAAAGGCTGGATTTACAGTTGCAGGGGCCAACCTCAGGACTGCTCACTAAGTTCTGATTTGTTCATTGCCCTCCTTGGATACATACCTAGGATCCAAGAAGGGATTTCTGACATGTCATTCAGATTCCCTTAGGATGGAAGGAGGATCCTGTGTTCTCTGCTTAGTTATGAGCATCTGTGGCCCACGCCATTGCACTCTAGAGTGGCAAAAAGAAGTAAGGTGCCAACAGACTTGTCCTCCTCCACAACACGATTCCAACTGTATCCCCATCTGGGAGCTAGGGCACCTCTCCCTGTACACAACTCTCTCTTTTCCTACCTTCACCATTGTTCCCCGCTAGCTATTACCAAGCAACTGTTGACCTTGCCCTTCTTGTTGCTACTAGACACATGTACAACAAAACTGCAACACAGGGGTTCTGAGGCACTTTTATGCACTGCTTCCATACAATATGCTATGCGCGTAGGAAGCACAGACTGGGCTGGCCTTCTCCTGCATTTGTTTCAGTGAAGGAAAACATTAACTGGTACTGGCAGAGTGGAGGAAGGGAAACTGCAGTGCTGAAAGGCATGCCATCAAAGTAGTTCAGCATGGCAAGCGACCTACTCACAGACCCCCTAACCAGCTTTTTATGCTCATTTCTTCCCAACTAGCTGCATGTGACTCGCACTTTAGCAGATATTAATATTCCTATGCATTATATCTAAAAGGTACAGGAAGGAAATCCCAGAGCTCCTGCTTTCCTGCAAATGGACTCCTGGCTAGCACAAGGGTATGTAGCAGCATACAATGAGTTCTCTCCAGGTGAGATGGTATATGCATGGGCACCATACATGCTGTCTTGCTGCACCCATCTATTCTGGAGGAAGATTCCTAAAACCCCAAACACTGCCTGCTTGCTGGTGATATCACATAATCCATTTTATCTTTTAAAAGCCCTGAACACAAAAGGATTAAAATCCTGGACATCCCAGGACAGATCTTCCCAGAGAGAAAACATGCTGCATTCCTGAATCATTGCCTTGCCCAGCTGCAGAGAATTTGTGCAACTTCTGGAGGCTAGGAATGTATCAGGTACAAAGTGTGCATGCACACAGCACCCTAGCAGGCCAGCAATATCTACCAGAAAAGCAGCAACCTCATGTGCTACCTTCAGTTAGAAAACAGAAGCACAGATAAAGCTTAAGTGTCTGGAGGCACTCAGATCTTGTCTTAGAAGTTCCATATTAACTTTGCTGCATATTTACAGTGCTAAGAACATGGCTCCCCACAATTGAAAAAACAAGACAAGAAAAAAAAAACAAAAAAAACAAAGCAAGAGAGGTAGCTGTCTCTTCCACTGAACCTGGCCAGTTCCGGGTGGTGGCTCAAAACCTCACACACCGGCTCTATCCTCTTGACACAAACAGTCTCTGTCCTCCTGACACCTAGATTATGGCTTTTTCTAGTAAACACAGGGAGAGTCAAGGATCTAAGGCGGAGGCCAACAACACCATGTGCTTGTTGTGACCGGTGGCTTCTGTTTATTCTCCAACACAAATGGATTCAGGGAAAATGAGCATCATTTGCACAACTGCTGAAAAACAGCTGTGAGCACAGGGTGGGGATGTCAGGACTGACTGTGAGCAAAGGAACCATGATGCTTCCACCCCTCTTTTCACTCACATGGAGAAAGTGACAAGTGAGAACAGATGATGGGCTACCAAGGGAGTTAGGCGAGGCGAGAGAGAATGGAAAGCTTCCTGTACTCCTGTGAGACTGACACAAGGCACAGACAGCCATGGCATCAGGAACAGCGTGATTCACGCCAAAAGCCGGTGCCGCTCCTTGCTCTTTGACCTTTATTCTGCTCTGGATGCCTTACATAGGTGGAGGGAGCATTACACAGCCTGCAACCAGCAGTCACTCTCATCACCACCCTCCCTTGCCTCCTTTCTTCTTTTTCTGCTGCTGCTTCTTCTTGGTTGCAGCAGCACCAGCTGGCTTCTGGTGCCTGGGAGGGATCACATTACTGGTGGCTGCAGAGGATGGGGCAACAGCACTGCCAGGCCGTGGGGAGGTAGGTGGGCTAGTCGCAGTCTTGCTGGCATCCCTGAAGAGGGAAAAAAAAAGCAACAGTGTGGGTTGAAAGTGCCTCCCTGAGCCTGGCAGCTTCCAAGAAGAGCTGGATGGGAAATGGTTTTACTGTCTCACAAAACTACACTGAGTTTGTGAACAACATCTCACAACAGATTGGGTTTTTGGTTTTCCCTGAGACACACCCACCACAGATAGCCAGCGGCCTGGCAGTTGGGGGAATTAACTGGGATAGAAGAGCCCGTGGGGCTTGCCCAGAGCCCCCAGGCTATGGCCTGAGCTAGGATGGGTGTGTCAGCCTCTTCTGGCAGAGATGTTCCAGTCTGCATAAAATAAACACCTGCCGGGCCAGCAAGAGTCTTGTCAATTAGTACCTGCGGTCAGCTCACATCCGGAAAAATAGGAGACTCAGGTCCAAGTCCCCTGCTTCAAAGAACAAGTAGGCAGAATTGACCAATGCCAAGAAGAGAGGCTGGTAGAGTAACCCCCACCCCAACCTCCATACAACCTGGGCTGGGCACAAGATGCCCAGGCTAAAACCCCCGGCCTGAATCAAGGGGAGCAGGGACTTGGACCTGTATCTCCCAGATCCCTGAGCTATTCTGGGACAGGGAGCTTATGAGAAACTCCATCATTCCATCTCAGAGAAGCCTTTCCTCAAAAAAGTGTCATTGAAAGGAATAAGCAACATGTCTGTAGAAATCGTGCAGGGGATTTGGTTTAACATAAAATTAAAATCAGGATTTTTAAACAAACACAATGGATGAAGAAGAATTCTCAACAAGGTTTCCTTGTAGAAGTAGAGCCCAAAAGAATTTAAAGCATTAAAAGCAACACATCCCATCTAGCTTCTGGGTAAATTTCTAAAACTTCACACTAGAGCAAACCTAGGAGAGAGCTGTATAAATGTGACGGTTGCATCAGTCATGCTGACATGTGGTTTAGCTTCTATTGTCTGTGGCATGGAGCAGATGCACAAGAGTTATGCTGAACCATAGGTCTCCCTACTCCCCTTAAATCAGTCTAATCGATTTGCTTGCCTACATCCATAATAGTTCCAATCCTTTCCAAGTTAATTAATGACACTACTAGGCATCTTAATTGTATATTACAGATTTTACACTAGGTACAGGTTATACAAACAAGAACTATGACAAAGCAGAAAGAATACACTCCTTCCCATGGGCCTCAAAGGAGAGCATAATGGGGAAACCACAGCTACTCTGCTCTTAGCCCAATTCCAAGACAAGTTATATCCCCTTTGATTCCCCCTCCACCCCACTGTAGTTTCTGTGGGATGAGCAGCTTTGCCTCACACTGCTGCAGCCAAAACCAGCGTTTTGTTCAAGGCCTTTCAACAGCAAGAGAATGCCCAAATGCACACATTGTCCTTTAGGATGTAATCCCCCAAGGAAGACTCCTCTTGGTATCTGCCAAAACAAGCATGCTGCAAGTGCTTAGAGATATAGCCCCTACCCAACAGAGCTGACCACCTAAAGAGGAGACAAGTCAGACTCTCTACACTGGGGAGAGTGAGAAAAGGCTGACTCTAATCTGCTAAGCAGGTTTTTGGCAACACTGGGGCCATGGCTTGTGAAGCCCTTGTGCACTCCCTGCTGTCTGAGGTGCTGAAGAGTCTCCAAGAGCCTTTCCACATGGCTGCTACTCACAGTTCAGAAGCAGAAGCTGTGGTTGCTCCCTGTGTCCCCTTTCCAATCTGATCCTTCTTTTTACCCTTCTTCCTTCCACGGTAGTAGGAACGTTCTCGCATTGGAAGCCACCGCTCAGGGTCCGGGGTCACTTTGGGGTCATAGTTCTTGGGCAGTTTTCCTGTGCAATGTTCAGTATGGTAAGAAACTTAAGCAACATGATGATGGGTGGGGGGAAGAGAGGCCCAACACCCTTTTAAACAGATTGGAAGCTGTAAAGACTAAGGCATTAAGTCAAGGTTTGCTTATTTTACATCCCCAGTCCATGTGGTAGGCAGGCCCACAGGTACTGGTACAGCTCCATTCTTACTAGCAGGGGGCAGCACTGTGTTGCCCAAACCATGGCAGTCACAAAAGTCTTTGGCCCTTTAACTAATTCCGTAGCTGATGGCAGG